AATAAATTCAACTTTTTTTTGAATATAAAATATCTTTAGAAGAAATCATTCGGTTTTGCTGAAACTTACAGAGTATTATAACGGATCATGAAATCGATTTGCCGGTAAAATTTCAAACTAAAAATCCTTGATTTAGCTTCCCTCGTAATGGTCCTATAATAGGCTGAAAATTTGACTTTAATGATCATACGTAACTCAAAAAGTAATTGTTAATGACATAAATTCTTTTATAATTTTTATCTGCATAATGGAGCTTGATAATTAGCAAAATATGAGCTCAAATGCAGGTTATCAATTGAAAGAGTTGCTTTGTAAGTATATTCGTACCGATTATTATCACTTCTTAGAACAGCATTAAAACCTTTACTACGTGCTGACCAACCACCAACAGATAAGATTATTTTTAAACTAGGATTTCGTCGTTTTAAACCATACATACGAAGGTAAAGTGGCTAAAAAGAAGTCAAAAACAATAAACAAAAAAAAACAAAAATATTCTTATTAATACCATTCCTAATCGATCTGTCCAATGAATATCATGGTCTTCTGTCGGTGTTATTGCTAATGTTAATGGATTAATATCAGCAAAAGCAAAATGTATATGTGTACATAATAATGGATCTATATGATCTGGATAAAGTGTTGGCATAGCTTCACGATATAATGACCAATTTGTATAATAGCAAACAACACGTAAATCAGAATTTTCTATTTGACAAGAACAAAAAGAGAAATTTTATAAAAAGAAAACTTTTTAATAAACAAATATTTTTACGAGCAAATTTTTTACAATAGATTATTATCAATTGAATAACGAATAAAAACTTCATATCGTTTTCTTTTTTTTTTTGCTTTTAGTGATTGAAAGACAAGATAGAAAAGATTTGTTCTTTTCTTTTTCTATATAGATCAACTTCGTTTGTCTGTTTACATTGAGCTCAACAATGGACGATGTCGGTGAGTCTATGTGTGTGTGTGTGTGTTCCTGTGTGTCACTGACCGGATTGAACAATATAGTTTGTGTGAGTATAAACGAAACGAAGCACACACGGCAAACTTTAGATGAATTCATTCGACTGTTCACAAGATGGACTAAATAAATGTCATTTACCACTTGTACTGGTCAATTTACATACTTTTTTTCTTTGTTATGTATATTTAGATTATGTTTAAACTAACAGATAAACATTCTTTGTTAGTAATTTTTTTTATCTCTTATTATCATTTATTTAATAAAGTAGTCTGAGTATTTTTTTTTTCTACAATCAGATATTTTATACAAACTTTATTTATGAATGTCTTTGACTCTATTAAGAGTTTGGTTTTACAACTAATAAATACAAAAAAATACAGATAATAAAGACATATCATTGTCATGGATTGTTTTTGATCAAATTAGTATATAATAAACATTATTATTTTCAATGCTATTCAAATTGTATTTGATTAACTTGCATGTAAATCATTATTTAAGATTTTTTTTTCAAATAATTAATTTTTAAAAAGTTGGAACATTTTTAAAAACCATTTTCTATTTATAATTATTAAAACCATAGAAAATAAAACAATTAAAATATAATGAGTAATTATTGTCCAAAATGCTGTTTGATATAATGTATAATTACAATAAGTAGTTGTACTATATGAATTTTTAAATTGAACTTTGTTTACTACATGAAATACTAAATAACTACCAACAATAAACCATACAATTAAAAATATGATAAGTATTTGATGAATTACACAACATATTAGGAGTAAAGGAATAAAACATCGATATTTATGATATAAAAGAGAAAATATTACAAGAAAAATTCCATTTAATGAATATATTATTTCAATAATACCAATAATAAATAAATAAAGAATAATACGATGATCTATTGTACAATGATTCTGATAAACTATACTAAAACGTAATTGAATAATTGCTATCGATATTATTAATATAATATGAATATAAAAACAATATGAAAGGATATATTTTGATATAAATAAGCATTTCGATAACCAGCAAGCACTAGATGTAAGTTCTTCTTTATTCTCCATGGATAATTATTTTTCATACCAAGTAAAATTTGTATTTATACGTGCGTAATCATCCGTATGAAAACACCCTGACTGAATACATGTAAATGATCTGACTCATCATCGTTAAATTTTTGTTTCGATACGCCTCAATGATAATCGACTACTATTAGCCACGCCCAATTTTTCTGTTGGATTATTTTGAAAAAATTTAATTTTAAAAGTTAGTAAAAAAAAAACAAACATTATTTTGATCTCATCTGTTTCGTCGTTGCTTTTATTTTTTTTTGTATTCTTTTTTTTTTATATTGAAATATTTTCAGACACGAAAGACGAAAATTCGACATAAAATATAGTCTCGTTTTATGTTCAAAATAAATGAAACTAGAAATAATGCCAATTTAGTTGACAAAAACTACGTAAGCCTGGAGAATTTTTTTCTAAAAATAAATTCAATTTTAGCTTTTAAAATCATTATTTACGCAATTATTTACAATTATAAAAAAACAAGGCATGTAATCGTGTGATAATGTAACCCCTTCATGCATGAATCGTTGTGGCACAATATACGTGTGAATGTGTTAGAAACTAAAATATATTCGCATCGATACATATGAAATTGATTGTATGCACATTTTTAATATTTTCATATCCAGGAACAAAAGAAAGCTTTTTCTAAAAGACTTCTATGCTAACCAACGAGCATTCTCGCGTGTACACACTCAAAAAAGATTGAATGACAAAGAAAAATGACGCATGCGAACTAAACATGCTAGAGTCTTTTGACATATAATATAAGAATTTATATAATTTCGATTGTAAATTTAATTTCTTTATAACTTGAATTTCTACTTAAATTAATATCCTATTCAAAATTGTTAGATAAAATAATCATTCAATCATTTATAGACACAAATATATTTGAATGCTAATAATTATGAGATAATTTGAAAAAATGAAACAAGTTTTTTCGATAAATACCGTATGATTATAAGGCAATGATTCCATTCAAATGAAGACTCAATAAAAATACATCAAAGACATAAAACAAAATTCTTGTGTTATATTACAAAATAGTCATTATCATTTTTTGCATGTAAACATAGAATTATCTTAGTATCCATTTTTCGTATTGACATGCCAGTTTTGACAAAGTTCTAACAATCTTATGATTACACATAGGTGACATTTTGACACTTTCATACGGGTCATGTGTTGCATTAATATATGGAAGCAATACTTTTAGAGAGTGTTCACAAGAATAAAAGTTGTGTATGATTTTGCATGTTTTACGGACAAAAAAAATATATATCTTTAAAAAGATTATGTTCGCATGTATTTCCGACACGCACTTTTTATGCATTGAATCTTGTTTAGCACTTATGCGCAAAAAGAAAGATTAAAGATATTCGAAAACCTTTAACAATAGCATTTTGTAATTTAATATCATTCTTTATACTAGATAAAGTACAATTTACAATCCTACGATTGTGTAACACTAGAAAAATATTTCTGATCACACATGAAAACTAATCATATTATTTGACGTTTATATTACTGAGTTCTTAATTAAAAAATAATGAAATAATTCTATTTTGTATAAGGATAAGTACTCTGTACATAAACATCCTTTATTCTTGTAAGAACTCGAACATATAAATGAATAATAAAATTTCTATATTACATAAGTATGTGTAATAATTATGAAAAAATTTTCATTGACAAAAAAAAGAAAGAAACTAGAAAAGGTTCTATATGCAATAACGAACATGAAACAAAATATTCTGTTTTATAAATGAATATGTATATATTTTTAGTATGAAAATTAAATCTAACAACTTGATATTAACGTTTGAAAACGATTCAACAGCATTAAAAAAAAATTTTTTTCATAATTATTATTTAATAAAATAAATGTTCTTAATATTAAGTTTGAATATATTTATGAAAAATGCCCAGAGGCTGACAATGTTAATAATAAAAGAAAGTAACCCCCGCACATAAAAACTGCCTATTAATTTTATACATTATGAATGTCTTTTTTTTTTAAAATTTCTATGTGAGATAGAAATATATTTGAAATATGGTAGGAAGCAACATAATGCTGGACACCAGTTAATAATTGACATTTATTTTTCATTATTATTAAAAATTTATGAGAGCATGAGTTATGATAAAGTCTTGATGTATTATATCAATTAATGTCTGCTTGAAGAATTTATTGATTATATTGAAACATTTGTTGTATTACAGAATTTATTTCACTGAAGGTTTTTTCTCATCTCTGTGTGATACAAAATTATATCTATCGTTATATGTTGATTAATTGTTAAAATCAATTGAAATGTTATTCTGTATTGTTAATTGTTATTTATTATCTTACAACTTACTAAAGATTTTATTAATTATTTCATAAATCACTTAAATAATATATCTCAAAAAAAAAAAACAAACGAAAGAAAATGATTGACATAATTAATATTTGAACAGATTTAATCCCGTGAGATAAGAGTATTGATTATAAAATGTACTGAATGATTTTTCTTTTGATTCTATAATAAATATCTTTTTGTTTGTAATTGAATAATAGAACATTGCATGTTTTATATTAATATTATCCATATGATATTCTTATTGTATCAAACAAAGTAGTTCCTATTTTACTATTCTTAACTATAATACACATATATAATACTAATATATCAATTATTCTTTTGTATTTTCTTCTCGTTTTCATGTTATTTGTTTTGTGCGTGTTCAAGGAGAAGATTAAATGCATATAGGTAAAAAAAAAAAAAAAAAGAAAGAAAGAAAAAAAGAAAAGCAAAGAAGACAGTTATAGCAGATAGAAACAAATGAGAAAATCAGAATAATAACAAATAAACTTAACACAAGAAAAATAAAAGAAAAGAAAAAAAATAGTTAAAGTAAAACTTTACAAGGACATAGAAATATGATTTGATTTTTTTTTCTTAATCTTCAGTTGATACAGATAAACCATGGATTGAAATATCTTCACGTTCATATACAGATGATGATGCATCAGCTTGTAATTGTACAGTAAGACGATGATTATTTTTATGTATTAATGGTTCACTATTAGGTACAATTGAACATTTTCGATTTCCATTTCGTTCTAAACGTTTACATTTATTTATTTTTTTATTACTATTTGAAAAACGAGTATTAGTCGTTCCTGGAGGTATTGTTGTATGTTGTAAACCACTTGAATCAGTTGTATTAGTTGAATTTGAATGTATTTTCATTCGACAACATTTAAATACATCATGTCTAAAACGTCTTATACGTGATAATAATGTTCCATCATCATGTATATATGCAAGACCGGCTGAAGTTGTTGGTTTTCCAATAATACAATATAGTAATGCATGTAAAAAGTTAGCCATTTCAGAACGAAATTCTCTTGCTGTAACTGAATAAATAACGATATTAACTGAATGATTAAGATTCATTAAAATAATACAAAAAATTTTAATTAATACTAATATGGTATGTCGATAATAATTATTGTCATCTTTAACATATTCATATATACTTAAAAATATAACGATTGGAGCTGTTAAACTAATAAAAACAAGATTGACAGTGATTAACATCACAGATATATTACGACGACGACGTGAACGACGAGCTGATGTTGAACCAGCTCGAGATGATGAACGAACAAGTGTTAAAATAATTATTATTGTACAAGCAATCATTGCTAAAACAAAACAAAAAAGCTTTATTTTATTTATTTATATATTTTACCTGTAAATGGTATAAATACATTCATAGCAAGATCAATCCAAACCCAATAACGATAAAGTTTTTCATGTTCAATTGAATTTTCAAGTGAACAATGTATAACATTAACATCAAAAAATGGTTCTGACTTTTGTTTTGTATTTTTGAAATTATTAACTTTATCTTGTAAAGTTGTATCTCGACTAATAGATTCAATTGGTACTGATGTATACGGTTCATATGATAATGATGAATCACTTGCTCCTAGATCTCCTCCTGACCCTGAAAGAATATTAAAAAATCCATACTGTCCATGAGAAGGATCAAATCCATTTGATGATGAATAACTTTCAAAGTCAGTATTATTATTAAATATTCGTTGTTGTTCATTAGGAATAGCTGTTTCGTGTTGATTTCGTTGTTTCATCGAATTATTTTCATATAGAAAAAAATGACTATTAAGAATAGCCAAAAATAATCCAAGGATAAATGTTACTAATACTGAATGTTTTGGTTTCGTCCATGTTTTAGCTAAACGAAGATATTTAGCTGATATAACACGATCAATACTAACAGCAACTAATATCCATGATGAATATTGTGGAAGAAAATAAGTACAAAATGCAAATAATTTACATTGCAATGGTCCATCTTGTATATCATGATCAAAATGATATAGAGATATAAAATTGACACAAAATGTTATTATAACTCCAAGATCAACAAGAGCAAGACAAGCTAAATAACAAAATGTTGAATAACGTCTCATAGCTGAACGAATTAAAACACAAAATGAAAGTAAATTTCCAAATGAACCCAATATAAATATAAGCACCGGATAGACTTTGAGTAATATTTTAATTAATGCAAATAATGATTGGGTATCTTGATCGAGTAATGCAAGAATCGAAGGCGGTGGTAAACCGCGAGTGTCACTGTCGAATTTATTATTGCTCTCCGTCGACATGTATGTTTAAAAAGAATTTATTTAATTTAACAAACATAATGAGATTGTCGTTGTTTTTTTTCTTACAGACATATCTTTAAGAAAAAAAAAAGAAACGGAGAAAGAATTCATTAGGTATTTTATTTGACATATGAAGCAAGGAAAAAAAATCTAATGTGATAAAGAAGAATTTTTAGTGAGTTGAAAAGAAGTACTTCTATGTAGAAAAGAAAACCAGCAAAAATAATCATTTTTCATCTTGCTGGTGTTTTTGTCTAGTAGTAAAAAAGCAAAAGAAAGTTATATCACTTTGTTCTATACATCATGAAATAAATATGAATACTTATTTTAAGATCTTTCATCAATAAAACAAAACTCTTCTTTCTTTTTGTTTTCTTCAATGAAATATAATGGAAAACATTTTGTAATTACAAAAATAATATATATATATAAACAAGCATGTCTAATGTCATCAGTCGAAATGGTTCAGAAGAAGGATAAAAAAAAAAGATAGATAGTAACTTTTCTTTGCTTACGAAAGAAAATTTCAAGCTAAATACCGTAGCAAAAGAATTATATATTCATGCAATCCATTGTTAATCGTATGGCTTTAAATAGATGTGCGTGCGCTAATGTCATCTTTGAAACTTTGTCTTTTCTTCTTCCTATTTTTTCTATGATCTATCTACAAATGAAGTGATATGTTCTTATCTAACTAATAGAGACTCATCATTGCTAAACTTTTTTGTTATTTTTTTGTCCGTTGAAAAAGTATAGAGAGGAAGAGAGAAAGCAAAAGATGATGATAGATTAAAACAATGTTCTCGGAAATCATGCTCATCCTGGCCTGATTCAATTAGTTGATAATGATGTCACTTCATAAAAAAAAAAAGAAAGAAATTTTTTTCTTTCCTTCGTATATTCATCCTCGTCAAAGTATTCTTCTTCTCTTACACATAATGTGATTTTGAATTAAAGTTTCGATTTTTTTCTTCTAGTAAACGAGCGTACTCACTTGTGCGCAAACGCCTCATTGATAAATATGAATAGGCGAAATCGATGGGTTATCGAATAAGTATGAGAGGAAAATGGAGGAGAAAAGCTGTTGAAAGAATCTACTCGAACTTAAGAGATCTAATCGGGCACAAAGTTCTTAATAAATTTTTTCTCATTTTTTTTTAATGACGGATATTTAATATGATATTTTTTTTATTCATATACAACACTGAATGGTAAAGAACAGCAAATAAAATCTAATTGAAAATGAAGATATCTTAACAGATTCGTCGGTGCATAGTATGAAGTGATATTTGCCAATACAACGGTATAGATATGAAAAAAAAACACAAAAAAAAAAAAATTTAATGATACGCACACGTATGAATGAGTAGATCAATAAATGACAATTCTCTTTCATTAACTTTGGCAGATCTATCTGTCGACCAAATACGTCATTGGTTCCGACTAATAATAATGTTTTGTAAGAGAAGGGAAAAACAATAAAAAATAGTTGACCTTGAAGGGTGTCCCACTCTTTTTCTCTCTTCGTACTGATCATATATTTCCCCTGCTGATAAGTATTTTACGTGGGTACTATTTTTAACCATCATGAAGTTTTTCTTTCTCTCAGTTTGACTACATGTCTAATCCCGTTCACTTTTTTTTTTGTTTATATGTGTTATTCCTATTTTTATTAAAAAATATTTTTGTCTGTCTTCAATTTCTAACATTGACATGGAACAAGAGAAAGCTTTGAGCAAAACACTTTCGCGAAATAATCAAAACCAATTTAACCTGATTGTATAAGTATTTTGCATATGTCTCGTGTGATTGTAAAAGCTTATAATTGAGCTTCGAAAATGAATGACGTTGATGATAGAAAATGAAAGCGAGAAAACACGAGTGACAAAGAAGACAACGAGGACGATGAAAGCAATCCAGTAGAATCGAATGTCTAGGGAATAACAACGAGAGCAACGATGGGACGAATATATTTGAAGATTTGCTAAAGAAAAGATAATTGAGATGGAGTATTTGTCTTTGAAATATAGAGTAGACTTAATGGGCACATGAGCATGCAACCAAAAAAAAACAATAACAAAGACAAACAATTAAATCAGACGAGCGTGTACACGCACGTGTACAAAATGATAGTAGAAATAGAAAAGCGAAAGAGTGATTTATGATACATTGTCTCATTTATTTTTCGCTCTATTTTTTTCTTTCGAGAATATATCTTATTTTTCTTCTTCATTTTTAAACGTGTGATGAATGATCTACTTTTAGAAAAGTATAAATATATGCACATGCTTACATTCATTATTGAATATATAATGTCACTAATGACTAACTGATTAGTTAACTCATTATTGACATACGATCACGCGTGATTTTCCCGTGAGGCATATACAGAAACACCTGCATAGTTAGTTACCTTTTGTGCTAAAGTATGGTAGTATAGCTATTTTTTTTATGAACTAAACTAAGAAATAAGTAAGGCCAATATAGAATATAGGAAACAAACTACACTTGGATTGCGATTATTTATTTGCCTATATGCCTATTCTATTTCCTACGTCATCTCGAGCCCTGAAGTCATTCAGAACAGAAGAATAGAAAAGAAAAATAAGGAACAAGCACATGGGATAATTAATTTTTCTTTCTCTTGTTGTCTTCTTTCTGAAAAAAAACAAAAATTCAAAGCTTGCATAAAGAAGAGAACGGTATGAGTCAAAAATAATAACAAAAATCAACAAGACACTTTCATATTAGAAAACATAATTGACACATAATTAGTCGGACGATTAGATTGTCAAAGTCAAAAATTGTCTAGAGTACAATTTTTTTAACAAACATCAAATTTGTTGACATTAGTAATAAAGAAATGAAATGAGGCGGAGACGACAAGCAAATAGTAAATGATAAGACACAAAATTAATAACAATAATAACAACAACAAATCTTCAAATGAATTGTTACAAAAAAAAACAAGCAAAAAATAGGCATTTAATTATAAAATGTTTTTTTTTCGCCTCAATAAATGAAAATTTACTCATTGTTTTTGTTTTAACAAGGAAATGAAATGCTACAGATGTTGTCTCCAGACAGTTAAAAAGAACATGCTGAGACTCAACATTATGAAATAAATAATTCAATGTACCGTAAAGTACCTCCTTGCTCATAATCATAATTATATGTCGTATTTTTAAATCTACATTCTTACAAAAATAACAATGTCAAGTTTATAAATATATTTATTAAAAAGAAAATTACTATATGCAATGAATCATATGACATATTTATTAATATTGCTTTACGATTATAATTTTTACATATTAAGACACATCTAGTTGTTTAAAAAATAGAATAGAACGATAATTAAATCTTGACAATGATTTATCTAATTGAAAAGATTTAGTGTTAAAAGACTTAATATATATATATAGAAATAATTATCAAATGCATTCATATTTTCTAGACATAATGATAGTTAGCCTAAAGCTAAACATATTGACTAATCTGAGATTCAATTACACTTGGCTGCCCATTACAATCTTGTCACACCTACTTAGAAAGGCAAGATTGCGATAGTAGAATAAAACTGGAATGAAACCTATTCTTACCTGTTTTGTATTATTCCTCGTGCTGTTGTGATCCATAAAAAACCACGCTCTAGTTCATTTTCATATTATTTCTTTTTTTAGATTCTCTCTCTCTCTCTCTCTCTTTGTCTGTAGTTTTTGTTAAAGTCAATGAATTATAATGAGATTATACAAAAGTATGTGAAGACAATGATTGAAGTAACTAAGAGAGAGAGAAATTTATCATCGATACTTTGTAATATATACAAACGTTTTCCATTGACCAACTAGTAACACTTATTTTTTTTTCTTATAAAGCTTTCTAGTTCTTTTTTTTGTTTTTTCATCATGCGTCTATCATTGATGTGGTCTTGTGCTCGAAAGCTTAAAGGCAAAACATGCCTTTAATCTCTTATTTTTCTTTAGTGAGCTAAAGAAAGACTATTGATGAAGAACTATCCCTATTTTTCTCTCTTAGTCATTTTTTTTCTCCCTACTCTCTGTTTTCTTTCTTTGCTTCTTGTATTTGACACAAGAAAATAGAATTCACCCGATCATCACCATCATCATAATCACCATCATCATCATCAACAACAACAGTAACATCAAGCATAGAAACAAAAGAAATGCGGCAAAATAAGAAAGAACGACAATAAGAAAGAAGCAATGTTCAAAATCGTTCTCTTCCTTCTTATCTTATTCTTTCTTCTCCTTTTATTTTCTTTTTCTACGTATCTCGATATGGTTCTAACATAGAGTAAAAGCACAAAAAAAAAAAGGAAAACGAAGAAAAAGAAAAAGAAAAGATAGAGATTGGCACTCAACGAGTACTCAGAAAATTTCTATAACAGTATTTAGACAATTCCTTCTTTTTGTCTTCTATATGTTGCCTCTCAAAACTGAAGAATACAGCTAAAATAGAAAAATATGAAGTAATATTACTATTGTTGCCACTCGTGATGTTTTATAGAGCACGAATGATGAATATAACAAAGAAGCATAGATTTTCCTCTATTTTACTTGTGTTCATGTTTTTTTTTCTATTTATTCATTTACGTCTGGTATTACTTGAGACAAGATTCTAAATAACAATTTTCTTTTTCGTTATGGCTTGTTGTCCTTCTCTCTTTCGCTCTCTCTTTATATATATGTATCCGTGCCTTGACATTTTATTATTGAAGCAAAAACCAAAAGTTCTGTTGTCATCATTCGAATACTGACATGTCTTATTATACGTCTCGACCACTCCGCTAATAAAACTAAGAAAAAAAGTTTTCTTTCTTGTTTAGTTATAGAATCACATTTGATGTCTATCAATATAACAAATGTCAATATGCTAATGATATATTTTGAGTAGGCATGGCTAGTGCACTTCTTGTTAATCATTGAATGTACGAATTTATTATTTTAATAGAATTTTAAAAAGTTAGTAAAATACTA